AAATAAATAAATGTCCGGAAACGCTTCGTTTCCAAGATACAGGATGTTGAAGTTTTATTTTTATTTTCGTTTTTTTCAATTAACTTTTGAAATACTGAACTCAATTAAACGAAACTTGGTAATAGGAGGTTTTTGAGGTGTCGAATTCGAATCTGATGTTCTTACTGCTCTTACTCGTAGGGGGCGCCACCTACACGTCTTTTTCTTTTTTTAAGATTGTTACTAGTCGCTGTAAGCAACCATTTTCTAAATATTTGGACTTGAAAACTTCCAGTCGATTATTTGATAATCGATGCATGTTGAAGTTATTACGAATATTTTGCTTTTTTCACAAGAATGCTATATATAGGCCGTTTCTTTTATCATGTTTATATATTTTAAACTGTAACAGATACGAAGACGATTAAATGGGATTAAAAAAAGGTATCCGTCTTCGGGAACAATACAAAATACAATTGTCGAAGAAAATTTATGGGGACTCCCGCCCTTCTCGAGTTATACGGGAAAAACAAAAAAATGCTGTTTTTAGTTTTTTTTTCGAATGGAATTGGTATTTCTGAGAATATAAAAAAATAGAAAAAGAAAATGTTATTGTATTCGAAGTGTACTATGAAAGTGTGATAATAAAAATTCGATTTTTTTTAATATGGATCTGTCTTTTTTATTACAGATATTCATAAAGCAATAAAATCACAATGCTAGGGTATATCACCTTTGATATTTTTATAGCGTTTCATTTGAAATAACTAGTATCATCAGTGATAACAATTTTAAATTACGGTCCTGTCGTTACTTCTTTTGTAAATTGTTTCGATTTGTTCAAAATATAATTCAAACAACTCAATAGATTCGACAAGTAGGTTCCTTAACACCATATCGCTAATATTTATATACCATAAGTAACTACAAGTGAGAATACCTCCACCAAATTACCTAAACCTTTACAATTCCTGTATACGTTGGTACCTCTTCAATTATGATTACCTGAAGCATATTACCTCACTTCTACATCAATGATAATACTTTCCGTTTTTTAAGGAAAGGTGGTGGAAAGGTTAATAATGGTGATTTATTCAAATCCAGTTGATGATTCATTAGAATGTTTGAATTTATAAGTTTAATAATTTCCATTGCCTCTACAAGTCTAACTCATCGTTAAATATATGATTTTTTTCTAAAAGATGATTTGATTATGTTGAACTTGTTTTCTTATTTACTTAGGTCATATGATGTTCCTGGACTCGATTCCTAAATGTTCTGCCAGTTTGACCAATATATACCTTAGGACAAGTTTCACACTTTAATTTATATACTCCTGATTTCTCGAATTTGAATTGTTTTTTCTTTATTATTTTCAACTAACTTTCCCAACGTATTACTTGTTCTGTATACAATTTTAATATCTCGTTTCCTCAAAAATGAAGCCACTTTTTCCGTTGTTTGTCCAAAATACGTTAAAGCTCTATCATTTTGATTTTGATCATCTACCTTATCAATAGGAAAAACGTCTTGAATCGCTTTTGCGTAGACTTTTTTGGAAAGGATTCTGTTTATTCATTCGGTTTTAAGCTCATTGTTTACAGCA